AGCCGTTTTCGGGTCCAAGGGTGGTGGCCAAGCCGGCAGCCCAGCTGGCGGAGCCTGTGGCTCCCTGGCTGTGCGGGAGTGAGCCCGGCTCTGGCATGGGCAGGGAGGGGCCCTGTACCTTCCATGAACAGCCCGTGCACGTAGGAGCCTTCCCGGGGGGGCGCCGTCATATCCTCCCGGTTTTTCTTGGTCACTTCCACGGAAAGACACATCTTGTCGAGCGGCCACTCGTTCTTCCTGGCCATGGACTGCATGATGGCGGTGAGGAAGGACTGGGGGTTGAAGAAGCCGGCCAGCCACACGGTTGTGGGCAGTGCAAAGTCAGTTGTCCAGGCCTCGAGTTCCTGAGAAGCAAAGCAGCAGCAGTTCAGGGCTCTGGGCTGTGCACAGACCTGCCCCACGCTAAGTTCTGCTGGGGGGGGGGGCTCAGTAGCCAAGCAAAGTGACTTTCAGCATGAGCCCCCCCCCCCCAAGAAACGAGCAGCGCTGTCGCTCGGCTCTCAGCACCTGGGCCTAACTTACACGTGCGCCCGATTCCCCAGGTGTGCTTGGCCTGGGGGTCAGCTCTGGGGCGTCTGCCACGGCTCAGAGGCCAGTTCAGTTTGCACGGCCTGGCCTCAGCCTGCACAGCACCAGGGAGATCGGGGCTGCGCCTGGCATTGCTATCCCTGCAGCTCGTGAACCGGTGGTGCGAGGCAGTCCCAGGCCCTCTTCCGTGTAGGCCCACAGCCTTCGGTGGAGGAGGCTTTGAGGGGCTGCCCAAGGCAGAAAGACGCCGTAGTACGCACCCGCTCCCTGCAGAGTCCCTCTTGGGTCCCTGATGCTGCAGGGTGTAGGGCACCCATCTCTGGATTAAGGCTGTTTTCATTGCTGGTGCTGCACCCGTGCAAATCTCAAGGGAGGTTGTGCTTTGCACCCACAAAGTTCACGCTGGTTCCGTGTAAGTGCAAGCTTTGTTGGTGCAACGTGCAGCTCTTGTGAGCTACCTTTGGGGTTTGCACTTTGCAGTTCCAGTAAGCGACTGGCATGGAAGCTGGAATCCGAGCCCCTGGACTGAGAATTCGGGTGCTCTCCCTTGCCTGGCGTGGCTGTTTGTGCCATGGGAGAGCACCCCCGCCGGCACGTAGGAGGAAAGAGCCACGCATCAGCTTCCCTGCTCTTTGGCAGCCCCGAGTGCCAGGCCCGCTGTGAGACAAGGGGGCTTGTCGCCTCCTGGGAGCCTCAGGCTCAGCCCTCCACACTGGAGATGGAGCCATGGCAACCTCAGCAGCTGGGGGGCTGGGCTTTGGGGAAGCGTTTGAGCTCCCAGGCGCCTGTGCATGCCCAGCCCTGGCCTGCCAGCACTGTGTGGTCCAGGGCGGGTGAGTGGGGCGTCTCTGAGCCGCGGGGGCTGCAGCACGGACTCACCCGCACGCGAAGCAGCAGGTCGGCGTACCAGGCTCCCAAGCCGAGCAAGGAGGGGTAGGCCCGGTTCGTCCAGGACTCGGGCACGTTGTCGTAGAAGAGAGCGTTGGACAAGTCCTCCATGTCTGTGGTGATCGTCAGCTCCCCCTGGGAAGGAGCCAACCGGGGGCAATGGCGTCCGAGCCCCTTTGCCAGCACCGCTCTCGCCAAGATGGCGCCCGGCGCGCCTTACACCACTAGGCCGTGCTCCCTCTGACACGGCACCTTCCCTTCGGCCCCACCCTCACGCCTGCCGCTTTACAGCAAGTGCAGGTGAGTTCTATTGCCGGCCTCCCCCAGAGGCCTCTGCAGGGCAGTGGTGCAGCCTGGCAGTCGGCTGCGACGGGGCCTTAGGGCAGCAAGACGCGGTCCTGGCAGAAGCAACTGCCCCGCTATTTCTGGCCTCCTCGCTGCCGTGGGTTCGCCCTTCCAGAGGGAGGCAGGAGCAGCGTCTGCCTGCCCCCCCCCTGGGCGTAGGGCGGGCGCCGGAGGCAGAGCCACTCCCTTCCCCTCGGTATCGAACCGGAACGGACGCGTAGTTCCACCGGCTTCCTTTTAACGGCGGGCGTGCCTGACCGTCCCCGCGTGGCCGCGCCGGCGTCACGCACCTTCAGCCCCAAGTTCAGCTCCTTCAGCGAGCGCCTGATCTCATTGGTCAAGATGTTCATTCTTTCGCACTCCTGGAAGGCCACCACCACGTACGGCGTCTTCTCCGCGGCTTTGGCTATGATCTCCAGCATGTTGAAGGGCTCCGGCAGCTTGTCAAGGATCTCATCGAGGGCTTGCTTGACCTGTAACACGTAACGGCGCCGCAGGGCAGAGATGGCCACGCATGCGAGCGCCTGATCTCATTGGTCAAGATGTTCATTCTTTCGCACTCCTGGAAGGCCACCACCACGTACGGCGTCTTCTCCGCGGCTTTGGCTATGATCTCCAGCATGTTGAAGGGCTCCGGCAGCTTGTCAAGGATCTCATCGAGGGCTTGCTTGACCTGTAACACGTAACGGCGCCGCAGGGCAGAGATGGCCACGCATGCCACGGGGGTTCTGGCACCCATCGAACAGACACAGACTAGCCCGGACTAGGCCTGCTGAGGGCCAGGGAGCAGGCGTGGACGTGCCCTGCGCAGGCTGGGCTCCGAACCAGCTCCGGGCCATCAGCGATGCGGCGGGAGTGACACGGTCCACCCTGCACGCTGCACCTCTCAGCTCCCCTGGGGCCGGGCTGGCACTTGGCACTCTGGCCATGTGCCCGGCATGGCTGGGGAACCCCACCTGGTCCTTGGCAGCCGGTGAGCAGAGGCCACCACAGAAGTGCGCTGCAGCCTCAAGCTGGGGCAGGGGCGGGGGGATCAGTGTTTCAGCAGCAGCATGTGGTTGGTTTTGATGGTTGCAAACGTCACCTGCTCATAATCGGCCCGTCCGTACCTCTCCGCGGCCCGCCTCAATGTGCTGAGCTGAGCCCCCCCGCACGAGTGGTACGGGGAGGCACCTGCTGGGATCCTCGAGAGGTGGCCCAGGCAGGACTAAGGATTATCCCAGCCAGGGTCTGTCCAAGCTGCTCTCCAGCAGCGCCAGGGAGGGAGAAGCCACAAGCGCCTGGGCAAGTTACTCCCGGGCGGAGCCAGCGCCAGGGACCGTTTCCGGCGGCCCAGCCTGTGTGGCCTTGGCTAGCGTAAGCCCCTTGCTGCTCGCCCCGCGAG